TGGATGAATGGACGGATGGATGGATGGACGGATGGGTGGGTGGGTGGATGGATGGATGGATGGATGGATGGATGGATATATTATTTGAATGGATAGTCCTTTTCTTTCCTGTACTAACCTCTCAACTTCATAATTTTTTACAGATAAATTTGAATTCTCTATCATCAGTTGATCAACCTGCCTTGAAAGACTTGAAACCTGATAAATAGACATACCATCCAATAAAATTGCAGCTGACATGTACCTGTCTTATCCAAACTTCATACTTTCTAGTGCATTGGCTGAGCAATTGGCTGAAGATTGATCAACAGTCAGCTTCATGTCAGCCAATACTTGGCCAAGGCAGACTGTTGGACAACATCGAACCAATAGTTGGTTTTGCAGGAGTGTAGCCAGGATTTTCCAAAGGGGGAGGTCCAAATTCAAAAACGACACCATATTGATCGAGGACCCAAAACACCAAACCAAGAAAAAAACAAAAAATAGGCATTATTTTTTACATTTTATCTTTACGAAATAAAAAAAAATTGGAAAAATGCTGTGTAAATTCTCAAATTGCCACAAATGGGGGAGAGGGGGCTGCCCCCTAGCCTTAGCCCCCCTGCCTACACCCCTGCTTTGCATTGGCCAACATGAGTCAGTCGATTATCAGCTACATGTGTCAGCAGGTCATAAAACTCACAGTTTGTTTTTCTTTCGTAGTGTCTGTGATTACAGCACCAGGCTTTGGAAACTCTGTGGCTTCAGAACCATTTTCCAGCTGCATATTTTTCTATAAATAAAAAATATTGTTTGGTAATAATCTGATCAGCTAAATGAACAAATTGTCATGAACGTCCTATATTACCAGCAAACACTGCCCATCATTATTCTTTTGAAAATAAGTTAGAATAGAGGCTTTGCACTGATGGCAGCTATGACAGGAGGCAGGAACAATAAATTGAATATATCTGATTTACATGAGAAAGAATTAAGATTCCCAGGGGAAAAAGTTGTCGTGTCCGCTGTCATGGCTGTCATGATAATGCAAAGCCTCAATAAGATTAAATCCATAGTAAAAAAGGAATAATACTCAAGGGAAGACAATTTCATTGGTATTCAATGGGAAAACCTTCATCTCACCTGAAGTAGGTCTTGACATCTTCTTTGTAGCATGTCCTTGTTCTCAGCCAGTTTTCGTATTTTATCCTAAAATACATAGTGATAAAAGAGACCCACTTTAATAATAATAAATATGCGATTTAAAAAAATATGACATAGCACAATGCTTCTTACACTACTCGAGTATTCTGCCAAATATCCCAAAGTCCTTATGATTGAATGCACACAGCACATGCAGCTAAATAGTTTTTTTTACCAAATACCAATTAATACTATTAAAAAAATAACCAATGATGAGACAAATAAATAATGAAATATAGAAAGCTTGCGGCATGCTACATGTAGTCACGAAGCACCTGCTTCCAACCAATCAGAATGAAGATAAATAATTTTATAAATTATGTCAGACATTTGTGAATGACACTTACCAGATAAAGAGCTTCCTTGTTTCGATATATCTGTTCTATATTCCTTTTCAGTGAGTTTTCTTGTTCATTGTTCAACAGTTCAAATGTTTCTTGTTGTTGCTTCACCTCCTCTTCCAGCAGACCCACCCTGTTGCATTTCAATTCATACTCCTGAAGTATAGTTAACAGGAAAGTTACTTAAAACAATTACAGAACTTAAAAAGGAAATCAAGGTTGGATTGCCTCTAGGCAGGGTCTGGAAGGGGGATCCGGATCCCAAATCACCAGCTATTTCCCCCCAAATCCAGCGTCCCGCAACAACTGAAAGCCATAACCACATTCAACATATTGGATCCCATTCTACATTTTATCAGTTTCCCGGCTCCTGTGAAAACTCTTCCGGACCCTGTCTAAGGTGGTCATTCACCAGTCATGATGACCACCCAAATTAGTTTTAGCTTGGTTATATACCTCATTTATAGCACATCATTACTCTGGTCAAAATGACCAGCAAAGCAACTTAGATTTGAATGGACAAGTCCTAGTTCTGACCGGACACTTTCTAATGACCACCTGTTATTTTTAGCCCTGGCTTTAATTACTGCAGTTTTCGATATTCTGCGAACTCAGACTTGACAACCGCTGTTGTGAAATTGATTTTTATTGCCGCCAGTCAAAAATATAAAAGATACCGACTGAATATTATTTTTGATTGACAGCAGCGAAAAGCCAAATTTCATCAGGCGGATTGCAACTTAACTGAGTTCACAGAATATCGAAAACCACAGTAATTCCTGAACTTGACATCACAAGTGAGTAAAGTTCATTGCCAGGTCTCTAACAATGTTACCATTTTGAGTTCTTCTAATTCTTGTATCAGTTTTCTGTGGCCTGTATTTTGGTGCCAAAGTTGAGCATTGAGTTCAGTACACCTGGTGTTTAATGTAGCAATCTCATCGGCTAGTCTTTTGTTCTCCTATCAAAACACCAAGTTAGCAATTTTAAAACCAAAAATGAATTGTTGAAAGGCTGTCACATTCTTTCAAATTTTTCAGTAGCCCTATGTATACCTCCTCGGCTTTGGCGTAATGTTTTCCCATTTCAGACGTGTTGTTCTCTTGAGAATAAGATTCTTTGCTCGAGTTGTATCCATATTAATGTGTGAGTGGGTGTCATATAACAGGGGTTTTATTAAGTTTTGAAATGATAGAAGGTCATAAAATAGCTGGCAAGTCAGTAAGTGAATACTTAACAAGTTAGTTCAATTGGATACTTAACAAATTATAAAACTATAAAAAACTATAAAATCAATTTAATGGTACATGTAGTTTAAGCCTGGAGAATTTTGCTCATTAATACCAGTAGAGTGCTCGTTCTCCTGACCCTCTATTAAACCCCTTCTGATGTCGATATTTTCAGAGCTTTACAGTATCTTCATCATACAGTACCTGTAAAACTGTTGCAGTTTCCCCATTTGCTTGTTGTTTTTCTGTTTGGAGCACCTTTTGGTCAGACAACAGTTGATCTATTTGTTTCTGGGCTAGTTTCTGTTCATTCAAAATCTTCTTATTTACCTAGTACATGAAAAATAGAATGAGCCATACTAAACGCTAGATACAATCAGTCTGCAGAGGGTCCCAATTTAGGGGGGGGGGGGACACATTATTAATATTTTTGTTTCTGCCCACGAAACAAGGAACCCATAAAAAAAATCAAAAAAAAAACTGGCATTACATTTTACATTTCATTTCTTATGAAAGAAAGGGGAAAGGAGAAATTTTGGAAAATAAATTCTAAAAAGCCGCCATTTTGTTGCCACAAAATGGTGGCCCTGTCCCCCCCTGCCTACGCCCCTGGTCGGCTAATAATCACCCACTCCTCTGCATTCATTGGTACAAACCTGTTGTAAGTTGTTATTACATTCTTCCAGAGCATTGAGTCTGAGTCCTGCCTGAAGCAGGTCTGTCTCTTTCTTCTTACTCTCTACTAGAAGTGCATTGTGGGATATATTGAGTTCCCTGAAGTTTTGGTCTAGTTGATTTAACCTGTAGAATGCACATAATGGTACAACTTTTTTCTATTAGACTAGAAAAGAGTATTGATGCACTGTGGGATATTTTGAGTTTCTTAAAGTATTGATGAAAGTTGTGAATTATCTTCCTGGTCCAGTGTTAATAAATTTTAGAATATAAATAAATATTAAATGTTTACACTGGTTTATTCAAAAGAATGTCAGTTTTTTTTGTTTTTGTTTTTTTGTTTTTGTTTTTTTGTTTTGAGAAACAATGAACAATAATTGTTATTTCATTATTATTATTAAATTTATTATTCTCTGAAGGCAAATTAAGTGATTATCAGTTAAATATTCCCCTCAGTGGAATACTATTGTTTTAGGATATAGTACTGTAAAATAAATTTTAGATTTGAATGCCAGACAAAATTCAGGATAACTTGCTCTGGAAAAAATTGGAAAACCTCAAAATCACTGCTAGAGCACCGATTGTCATCTCAGAATCACTGGTTGCTCGACAAATTATAGTATGCAAAACTTATTCAAGTCTAAAATATTAATAATATACTAATGTATCCTAGAGCTTAGCAGATGTCATGGGTCCCTCTGTGTAGTGAATGCACCGTCTGGCACATCCTCTATGGTATTCTATACCTAATCTCCCTTTTGCCATTCCACATAATTGCATACCTTGTAAGTAATTCCTGCCTTTTCTTGGTTCCTTTGGATGTGATTCCATTAAAGTATTCTCTTTCTTTCTTTCTTGTCATTATTTCTTCCTCACAAATCTATTAATCAAGGAATCAGATTCCTCATACTTTATTGGTAATTTAGTGATAAAATTCTTATTTTTTTATCACTAGATATTAAGTCACCTCTTTGTCCAGTGCTATCTTCCTTAGTTCTCCTTGCAGATCTGATATCTTGTATTCTGCTCTTGCAATAACTTCATTTTGATGCTAAAAACAAATTAATTTTATGAAAAAAATGATCTTAAAAATTTTTGTTTATTTATGCAGGAACATCCAGTTTACCCTAGGGCTAATTCAAATGGAATACAAATTATATCAATCTTGAATGTCTTAGACCACGCTTAAGGTTCACATAATTTTTTAAATGTATGATATCAGAGGCATATATAGAAATTTTAGTAGTGGGGGAGGGGGGTGGGGGCCTCAAATTCAAGAATTGCACCTTTTGCTATCATACTAACCAGCTAATTCTAAGCTAGGGGTGAGGTCAACACACCAACCCACCAAGTATTTTACATCATAGCCTATATGTGCTGTAAAGTCACTAGCATACATGTTTCCCGCTCATACAAAAACCATTCTACTAGACGTAAGCCCTCTTACCTCAATAACTAGCTGTGCTTCTTTAACCTTATCAAGCATTGAATCTCCCCCTGAACCAATACAATTCTCAGTAAAACGATCTCTAGTCTTTGTATTATCAAATTCATCCGAGTGGCCATGGCTACCCACAGTTGTCTTTCTTGGATTCCACAAATGGCTGTCATTCAATTTTGATGATCTAAGGAACAACCCCTCTCCTCCATTATGGTAATGATGGCTTGCGCCCCCTCCTGAAACTTGTACTGAACTAGAAGCCGACAGGGGGTACCACCTCTAGATCTATTTAATTTTCTATGAAAATCATGATATGACTGTTCTGTGTGGTTTACAGAATTACGCACTGGATTCTCCATGTTGTACATGTATAATGAATCAGTTTTGGTCTTGAGGTCAGTTTCAGTTACGATTCTAGTCTGACGTGTTGATGATGATAATAAGCCATTGAAGGACAACATGTCTGGCGTCATCAGGCTTGTAGGTAGGACTGGTGCTTGAGGAAGATTAAGGGCTCTTTGAAGGGCACGTACCTCTTGTTCTTGTTGAATGATGCTCTTCATTCCTGCCTAAAGATAATGTATCTTAGGACTGGATAGTCTACCCCACAACAATTTTAGAGACGTCACGTAATGCCCCCTTTTAAATATTTTTGAGGAGGGTGTGATTAGAATTATTTTTGAGTGTCAACACTAAAAATGTCTGGGGGGGGGGGTGGGATAATTTTGTCTGGATAAAATGTCTGTCTTATTTTCTTATTTTCCTCCCCCCACCCTTCTCCATCTTTCCACTGGTATATGTTAGACCTCGGCCACACGTATACGTTTTCATTCATAAATGCATAGCCATACTTTTATAAACGAAACCTGTCCATCCACACGTAAATGAATCGTTTTCAGCCGTCCACATGTATCCACTTTGAAGAATGTTTTCAAAAAGTATGCTTATACAGTTGATAGGGTCTTAGTATTGTCTTAAAGATAAGCATTTTCCATTGATCATTCATTGTTCACCACAGGTGCCAAGTGGACTTTGGTAAGGTTGCCATGGTGACCTCCATAAAAGTACTAGCTATATTCAGGAACCATTACCCAATGGTTTTGAAACCCAACCGCAGCTAGCTAATTTCATCTGAGCAACAAGTTTTTAAAAACCTGATACTTTTGGTGCCCTCCTTGAGCTCCTATGACAACCCAAAAATGCCCCCCTTCCCCTCAAAAAATCCACACAGGCCTACCCCCCTTAAACTCATAAAATAAACCCTAATTCCAAACAATCAACTTTTTATTCTAAAAAACCTAATATAAAAGGATATAAAATGCAAAATTGAATCTTTTTGAAAAGAAAATAATTAGAGCACTTATCCCTTACCTCATAATCTAAAGTCCTAAAGTCTCTAGAATATCTTCTCTCGCTTGTAAAGTCCGTTGTTTTACCAGGAAGAAAGGCTTCCAACTGAGCCCTTGTGCTGGACATGTTTGATGGTGTAGATCAATTTGAACTTTCCATGAAGAGTATCGAGGATCAGAACCGTGGATATTAGTAAAAAATAGAAGAAAATTGATAGAGCTTTACCAGGCATCTGTTATTTGTAATCCATGTTGGTTTTTCTATCGATAAAGAAGGTGATTTTCCAGCGTCAGTGAGTGTTGTTTTTCGCTCCCTGTGGCTCTTTAGTTACTAGACTTCTCATTGTTTATAGCTGTGTTTTTGAGATTAACTTGTTGACTTAAACCCATTATTAGGTAATTTGAACTACTGAAACCCTGCCATGCATTGTCTTTTCCTATTTCTAATGCAGCGTTGAATTGCAAAAGAGAGAAAATAAAGAGAGAAAAAACAAATCGAAAAACAAACACAGAGCGCCAAAGTAAACTGAACATGCGGCAAAATTAAACTGACGGGGGAGGGCTGGGGAGTTTGTCATTCAAGGCACTTCAAATGAGAAAGGAAAAATAAGCACAGGAAAGCACAGGAAAAAACGAAGAAAAAAAACGGAGAAACAAGATGGATTGATAAACAATCGTTTTCTATATTTACTTTTTTCTCACATACTTACCGCTATAGATTTTGAGAGTGAATATATATTTAAAAAAATGCTTTTTGATGTTAATATCTAAAAAAAAAGACAAAAGCTAAAAAACAAAGTTAAAGTTATTTTAAATGTTATGCGTTCTATATTTGAAATATTAATTTATAACATTCCCGTTATTATTATTAGTATTTGAAAAATAAACTAAATGCCAAACTACAACCGGGGTTCCTGTGTCTTTTTGATCACGTGTTCGTTAGTTCATCGTAGTCTTCGTTCAAAATGGCGAGCGACTTTCACAAGCTGCAAGTAAAACGCTACCCAAAGATCGAAAGAAAGCAAACCAGTGATACAAGATACTGGAAAAAGTTTAGCGTAAGTGTTATTAGATACCTTGGCGTAGTTATTTTGCTTCTTTTTGTTGAAATCAAAAGAAAAAGCTGAGAAACTATTTGGTCATTAAATTTCACGTGGCCTTAAGTATTTATACACCATTTTAATTATTTCTTTATTCATAGATATTACAGTAATTGCTGCTTTACTCTTGAAATTTTTATTGATTGCATTAAAATTAAACCTCTAGATTTCCATTGAAATGCTTTATAGTTTCTTGAGGTGTTCGGTATTTGTGTGGTGGCCCACGTGGTTTTTTTAGGGGGGGGGGGGGGGGGGGGACACTACATGTGATTTGAGCCTCTTGCGAGTGGTAAGATTCCTTTAATTGGCTGACCCTTAATCAACTTCATTGGAAAAGAAATGTTGCAGGACTTAAAAAACCCTTTATTGGGCAATATCAGGCAAGAATTGGAACTTGTCTAGTTTATGATCCGCTTACTTTTATTTCGGTCCTTGAGTCCTTCCTTGTCTTTGTATAGTAAAGTCTAAAGGACTCTCTAATAGGCCCTTTGCATCTATCAGTCATGTGCTGATATATCCTGCAACCAAAACTTGTGTGGTGAACAAGTTTCAGGATGAAATAGCCCTTTTGCAACATACAGTCACGTGCTGATAATGTGACTTTGATAACGAATGGATTCAGCTCAAGGTCCCTTGAGGAAGGCTCTGCTGGATAGCAAACAAACAATAAATATTGCTTCGTATCTTGAAATCCAAAGTATCTTATTAGGGGGTGGGGGGGGGATATTTTGGAAAAGGTTTTGGATATGACATTATACCAACACTCTAGTCTAATACTAGTTTTATGTTCTTTTAGTTTCCTATAGTGGTAAAGGAGTATGGTGCTGTGTCTTTTGTGGATTTTTGCCCAACTAAGCCTCATGATTTTGCCGTAACCAGTGCATCAAGAGTACAGATCTACAGCAGCACAACTCATCAAGTTTTAAAATCCATTTCTAGATTTAATGAAGTGGCGTACAGTGGTTGTTTTAGGAGCGATGGTCAACTGCTTGTCGCAGGTGGACAAGATGGTCTTATTCAGGTTAGTAACTAAATAAACTTGTGAACCACAAGTGGTGTGTGTGGCTAGTGCATGGCTTAAAATAAAGCCAAACAAAAAAATAAGTGTGTTTCCTGTTGCGCGACCGACCCTAATTTTCTTGCCGATTTTTGCTGACCCTAATATTTTTTTCATTCCCAAATGCACCACAGGGTCCCCAGTAAGAAAATTTCCACTGTTGTTTCAATTTTTAAAAATCCGACCTACCAACCCCCATTATTTTTGTCATGCAACAGGAAACACTTATTTTTTTGTTTGGCCAAATGGCCAGTCACCAGACAATATCCAGCCAGAATAGCAATCTTAACAGTTACTCACAATATATCAATTGGTTGGGAGGACTTGATTTACTGTACAGCTTATAGAACTTCATCACACTGTACCATGTTTATTCACACAAACATAAAAAATGGTTAAATCCATGAAACCATCTTGAATTGCTGTGGTAAAACACAAGGAAAAATTTTATTGTTCTAGTCAACATGGGTGCAGCATGAATAATGTCTATGGTCCTATAAGAAATTTTTTCTTTTGTTTATTTTGTAGTTGTTTGATCTTAACAGCAGAGCTGTGCTGAGACAGTTCAAAGGCCATACTGAGTAAGTATCTGTAATATAATTAATATAATACACCAGTGAGTGAGACTCTTTTTCACTCATTTAATAACTCTATTAGTATTTTGAAATAGTGGACTTTCCCATAGAGCATTTTCACGTGACGTCACAGCAGCCATTATGGGGTACCAAAACAATACATTTCTATCCTCCGGGAATTGAACTCTATTTTTATGCAAATACTGTGCAGAAAGTTTCTATTGTTAATGGCTGCCTTCTCACATGAGTGAAAACGCTCTATAAGACACCAAAAAATTTTGTTTTGTTTTTATTTTCCACAGTGCAGTTCATGTAACAAGGTTTCTGCAGGACAATCTACATCTAGTTTCTGCAAGTGACGACAAGGTGGTCAAGTGCTGGGACATATCAACTGAACAAGAAACAGTCTCATTTATTGAACACCAGGTAAAGCAAAGACATAATGAACCTCCTTAGCTTGGGTACAATGCTTGCCTGTTACAGATTGCCTGTCATTCCCTTGAGTATTATTTCTTTCTTTTTGTCAACATGATTTTTTCCCCTAAGACTTAAGAAAATAGTAATCTAATATTGTTTTAAAAAAAAGAAATGATATTCTAAGAAATGACATGGGGTGTGAAATTGGAAAACATGACACCCAAACCAGTGATATAATTGAATGTCAGATTCAAATAGAGGTACTATATGTTAAATAGTTCCTAATATTTTACATTGTGGTTTTCATAGGATTATATAAGAACTGGTGCTGTTAACAAAACAAATAAAGATATATTCCTAACAGGTAAGAAACGGCTCAGGGGAAGTGTGCAAGGGCTTCTGGTAGTTGTAGTAAATAATGCCATAAAGGAAACAGCTTATAAGTTGAAAAAACCGTTGTTCATTTATTAGAATCTTAAAATAAAGGTTCGCATTTTAGGCTCATTATGCATGTACAGTATATGGTCAATTTATTCTGAGTCTTTCAATTTGCAGCTGCATAAGTTGCTTCATATACTGCAAGGATCAGCTCAATTTGATACATTACAACCGCAGTACAAATATATATTTCATACATATTCTCATACACCTATGGTTAACTTTAATGTTATCTTTCAATGCTCATTTCATAGGTTCATATGACCACACAGTCCGGATGTGGGATAAGCGATGTGACAAGAGTGTTATGACTTTAGACCATGGCTGTCCTGTAGAGTGTATTCAGTTGTATCCAAATGGCGGCATGTGTATTTCAGCTGGTAAGTGAAGACTTCATTCATTTGTCTGAAATCATGTTATCACAGAAATCCAGAAAAAAGGCGTCCCAGGACTCACTTCACTTGTGTTGACAAGGGCTTTCTAAATATTAATTGGCACCCACAACACAGCGCTTGGGACCCAATTGTCTCCAAGGGCTCACTTGTGTTAAAAAGGGCTTCCTAAATATTGATTGTCACCCACAACACAATGCTTGGGACCCAAATGTGTCCCAAGATACACTTCACTTGTGTTGACAAGGACTCCCTAAATATTGATCAGTTCCCAAATATTTATTTAATATTTTTTATTATCCCTGATGATGTGGAATGATGTGGAACACCTGACTATGGTCAAAGCTGTGTCTTGAATCTGATGTCTATTTTCTTGCTTGTAGGTGGAAATGTTGTCAAAGTCTGGGATATTCTTGGTGGTGGACGGCTTGTAACAGAGTTCTCTAACCACCAGAAGACAGTCACCACATTGTGTTTTGATGGCGAACTTAGAAGACTATTAACAGGTTCTATTGATAAGTAAGTATTCTTGTCATAGACAACATGCAAAACTCTGTTCCAGTCTGCTGTTCATTTTGTTACCGACAAATTACATTACTTATAGTACACTCAACAAAATTACTTGACTCGGATTGGTCGAGAGGAGTACAATTATAGCGTTAATTGTACTCCGTAGGAGTACCGAATTAAGTCGCTATGGCAACATGGCCAAAACAATGTCAAAACAATTATTTTCTATCATTTTGTACTTAAAAAGCATAAATAAAATTTTAAAGCCGTAAGAACTAATCTTTTTTATGCATTTCAGTTGAACGATGGACTGGAAATCGGCTGCCAAATAGACAAAGATGAACGGTGTTGCTTCGTATTTTTTACTGAAATTTTGTGGAGTGAACTATAAACAAAAAATCGCACGATCTTCTCGTACAATTTGGAATTAATAGACACGAGTAATGTTTTGAAAGTTCTTTAATTGTACTCGTCTAAAGGCTTGTGCAATTACAAGAACTTTCAAAACATTACTCGTGTCTATTAATTTCCAAATTGTACTCGAGATCGTGCGATTTCCTATACTTACTCTTAGTTTACGACATGTACAATATACCAATAGAAAACTGGAGATTTTTGAGGTACATTAATGGGACAATTACCATATAACAATTACTCTAAATCACAATGGCCCTATTGAAGCTCATCTCGTTAACCCATGACATGTATGAGTCAAAGTGGAGCCAAAAGCAAACCATTTCTTTACGGTCGCTGTTTGACTGCTGTTTTCCACGTCTTGCAGCATTACCAAAAGATTTGACATGACTTTGTTTTAAGATAAACCTCTTTATCTTGGGTGTAACTTTGTCCCTTTCAGACCACATGCCATTATCTTAGGAATAAGATTCATTGTTTGAGTTGTATTTGTATTCATGTGTCTTCTCATGTTCAGCTGATAAACAAAGAAATAATACTCTAGATAATGACACATGGTCTGAAATGGGAAAACATTGAACCAAGATCAATAAGGCCTGCTTTTGCATTCATTATTGGCTTTGGAAGATAACACAGCCCTGGAAGAAATAATTTAAGATATGACCTTGTCAAATAGTTTTTTAGTGTTTAATAAATCATATTCTCTCGTAACAGACATGTTAAGATTTATGACTTACAAGACTATAAAGTAGTGCACAGCATGGACTACCCTTCGCCTATTTTAACTATGGCTGTCTCGGTAAGTTTATGCTAATATTGTTGATGCCATATCTCATTCTGACCATCAGGGCCTGTTGGGTAGCGTTATACACCCTTCATACAACTGGGCCCTGTAGTTGCCTGGCTTAGAATATTGTTACTACACCCAAGTGTGTAAATGGCCATCTTCAAATGTTGGGGGATTCATGGCGGGATGTTTTGGGGGTAAATAGACTAGCAAACCCTCCAGGAGAGAGAGTAGTGATATAGTACTTCTAAGCTCTTCTCATACCAGTGCTAGCACTCCCCTCTCACCAGTGTGACCAAGGTTTGTTTCCCAGACTCAGTGTTGCATGTGAGTCAAGTTGTTTGTTGCTTCTCTCCTGTGCTTCAAGGGTTTTTTTCTGGGTTATACAGTTTTCCTCCCTCCAAGAAAATCAACTTAGGGAAACAGGGTTGTCATGGAGGAATGAGCGCTCTCCTCTCACCAAAACGACCCTGGTTCTGTGGAACTGGCACTGTTAAATCATATTTATTTTTATATCTTGGTTTTTACTCTCTTACCATATACTAATATAGTAACCACCATCTTTATCTTGCAGCCTGATGACTCTCATATAGTTGTAGGAATGTCAGATGGATTGTTATCAATTAAATATAAAGTACCAAATAAAGGAGAAGAGAGTTTAAAGAGAAAAGAAAATCCAAGACCTGGAAGCTACAAGTATTTCATGAGAGGAGAAAATTATCCAGCTCAAGAGGTTTGTTTGAGAATGACTAAAAAGTTTCCATTCATGTGTATTGTATCATATTTATGTCTTTAATTTAAATCAGAAATGAGGGCCACATATATGTTTTAGCGGTGATTGGTTTATACTTTTGGATAAGCAATGACTGGTTCTAATTTTGGATGTCAGTAGCTGGTTAGTACTGATTGGCTAGTACTACCACCAGAAGTGTGGTCAGTTTGTAAGAGCGTCAGTCTGTTGTGCAGGAGGTCATGGTTCAAGCCTCGGCTGCATCGACACTCAGGGTCTTAAAAGAACAGAGATGGGGCTTTTTAATTACATCTGCAAATGGTTAGACCTTCAAGTCTTCTTGGACAAGGACTTAAAACCATAGGCCCTGTCTCCCAACCCTTCCTAACCTGCAGTACATGTAAATGGAGGACATAAAAGAACCTGTTGAATTATTCGTTTAAGAGTAGGTGATTATCTCCCAATTCATCACCCTATCCCAATTTGGAGGCATAAATCAAATAAACTAACATTCTCTCATGATTATATAAGCTCACGGCTGCTAAGAACCTCCATTATTATTAATTATTATTATTTATTAGTAAGTTTGCACAAAAACTATGTATCTTTTTTCTCACAGGACGATTTTGTTGTTGCTGAGAAGAAAAAACCTCACTTAGGGAAATCTGACAAGTTACTCAAGAATTTTGAATACAGTGCTGCACTGGATGCAATACTACGGGTTAGTGGCAAGTTTGTTTAGAATATGCTAGAGTGCAAACCATATATCTGTGAAAAAGTTAACTAACAAAATTGTACAAAGTATTGCAAAGTTTTTTAGGTCTATGGTCCAGAGTTCAAACCATATATCTGTGATATAGTGTTAACTAATTAGTACAAAATAGCACCAATGAAACAATTGAAATCAAAAGAAATAGATGTGTTTAGTCCTATTTAGTTTTTGTGTTATTCACAGATATATGGTTTGAACTTTACTTAGGTCTACTAAGCTTACTAATTTGTGCACTTTCTTACAATTTAAGCTTTTCACGGAATATATGGTATGCACTCCATTGTTTTTCTTGCAAATCCATAGCAGCTATTTGTTATAATTAATTTATGATTTAAATCAATGGCCCTATCGAAGCTCATCTTTGTCAACTCATGACATGTATGAGTCAAAGTGGAGCCTAAAGCAAACCATTTCTTTACGGTCGCTGTTTGACGGTTGTTTTCCACGTCTTGCAGCATTACCAAAAGATTTGACATTACTTTCTTTTAAGATAGACCTTTTTATCTTGGTTGTAACTCTCTCCCTTTCGGACCACATGCCATTCTCTTAGGAATAAGATTCATTTTTTGAGTTGTATTTGTATTCATGTGTCTTCTCATGTTCAACTATTGTTTTCCATGTCTCACAGCATTACCAAAAGATTTGACATTACTTTCTTTCATAATTGAACTCTGGATGCACAATACTTTTCCTCAGTTACATTTGTCTAAATCTGTTACAAGTAATACAGTATGAGTGGCCAATAGGATGTTTTCACTCAGTCAGAGAGTTAACTGACAATAGAGATTGCAGTCACATTGCTGTACCTAACAAAATGACAAAACTATTGTCAAAGGTACACCAATATGGCCACTGTGATGTCATGTGAAAACACTCTACTCTTATGGGCATTTACAAGGGTGAGCTGTTTTAAAGCACTTACAGATTAGATGCAAATATTGTATACTGCTTACCAAATATTTAAGAGAATAATTTTATGTTCTGCTGAAATGGCTGAAATCAAAGTGAGTTTGACCAAGAAAATTCAGGTCAAAATTGAAATACACATTTGTGTATTGGAAACAAAGTACTTGCAGTTAAAAAAAATCATTCTAATGTTCTCATCGTTTTTTATAGCCCCTTTCCAACCATCCTCCAGTAGTGGTAGCAATATTACAAGAGCTTGGCAGAAGAGGAGGACTTAAACGAGCTTTGGCAGGAAGGGATGAAAAAAGGCTGGTACCTATTCTTTACTTCCTCATAAGGTAAGAAAAGCCTTCCTAAGGGACTAATCAGGGGGAGGGGGGAGTGTGGGGTTACTTCTCCACCCCCTGAAAATATTCAAATTGAGTCTCTGCTCTTTCTTGAGTATCCTGTAACAGTCAACCCCTTCCTGGATCCGCTGTAGAATTGTTGCTGTGAGTTTGGACAGGTACTTTTACATAAATCCCCTTGGTCCCCAAGGACGATTAGAGAGAAAAACTTAATTCTTCCAGCTTAATTTCCACTAATGTTACTGTTTTTTATTTTATTATTCCAGAAATATAACCAATCCAAGATATTCCGTAGTGTTGATAGATGTAGCTAACATCCTTCTTGGTAAGAAATGTGCCAACCTCAAATGTTTGCTACTAGTGTGTATAGGAAGCATGGCTGTTTTGTGCTGCTATCGGGCTGCCTCTCACCAGTACTAGTCTCTAGTCTAGTTAACTTCCTGGACTCGATGTAGTACTTGTATGTGAGCACAGTTGCTTGTTAGTTCTCTCCTGTGCTTCGAGGGTTTTTTTCCTACATTCTTTGGTTGCGCTCCCTCTGCAGAAAAAATATCCTAAATTCCAGTCTGTGGCTCGAGAGACCAGCATGTTTGAAATAAAATAAATTACGTTTACATTTTTATCATTACTTTAAGAACAAGGTGAAAAGATTTATAACTTCTACATAATGTATACATATATTTAATATGCAGCCCGTAAAGTCCTCCACTGCAATGTAAACCGCATTGAGACAATGTGAAAATGCGCTATATAAGAATCCCTTCTTTTTTTTTTTTTTTCCTATATGGCATTCTGCGTAGAGCTTTTATCTATAATCGAATCTTTAACAAATTCAAATTGTTTTCATTGCGAGAGGTTTTATATCTCTGGCTTTTTTTCTTTTTTTTTTTTTTTTTTTCCTTCTCTTTTTTTTTTTTTTTTAGGTTAACTTTGGAAATTGAATTTATGAGAAAAANTTTTTTTTTTTTTTTTTTTTTTTGTTTCCTTCTCTGTTTCTTTTCTTATAAGGTTAACTTTGGAAATTGAATTTATGAGAAAAACTAGTGATTTAAAATTATGACGTTTCAATGACACCTTGACATCATTATCAAGTAAAGTGAAAAGAGTGATAACGAATATAAATATAAACTAGTCATGAATTAACATAATAATTTTCAATGTCCGAATTTTTTTTCTACAGATATGTATTCACCTATAATTGGACAGTCACAAGAAATAGACAAATTATTCTTCAGACTTCAAAGCTCTATTTCTGTGGAACTAAGCTTCTCAAGACAAGCATATGAACTATTAGGAGCAATGGATACACTCTTCGCTGCTTCATCTGCTCCTGTTTCTAATACAGATGCTGAAAATTCTAACCAAGCAACGTGAAGTTTAAAGAATTTTGCAATAAAAAAGTAGATGAAATTGATGAATCGAAGAGGCCTGTCCCACAGGAGGAACCAATCAAATCGAAGGAAGCAACAGATTGCAAATAGATGAGCTGATATAGCTAACAACGAACAGGCTAACACTCGTTCACATAGACCAAAAGGACATTTGAGTATCAAACAATAAAAAGAATCTATAGTGTGACTGCTTCTTTCTCTTGTTTTAACAGAACGAGCGAGCGCGCAAAGGTTGCATGCAATTGATGTTGCAAGCCATGACACACGACACACATTGTTGCTACTTTGGCAACATTGCCTGCAATGTTGCGCCCAATGTGGCACCGTGTAGCCGTGTCTTTAGATTACGAGGATGAAGAGATGAGATGATGATGGGGAAAATATTTTGAACACATATTCCTAATATAGTTTAAGGATTTATATACCAAAAGGTTTGTCAAAGAAAAAATGTCAAAAAAATAAAATTATTGCAATCTATTGCAATACAAATTATCTATTTTCATAGCATTTTGTCTCGATGTCACAATTTTCTAACATTTAAAATATGATAATTGTTTTTCAATTGGTTGGAGTAATCTTTAGATTTTATCAAACCCTGAAACATCCTCTGGGCTGACCTAAGTCAGGGCACGACTAACTCGCAGATTGAACGCTGAAACAACCTCTGGGCTGATCTAAGTCAGGGCACGGCTAACTCGCAGATTGAATATTGGAATTTAGCGTGTTAGGTTTTGCGGAGGGAAGAAAAAACCAAATGTGTGTTGGGGAACGTACGAACTCGGTTTTAACCATCCTGCACGATAGCAGCAAGGATTCCGTGTGTTCTGTAACTTGGTGGGATAGAGATAATGATGACGTAGTTCCGGCGTCTAGCTGCTAAAGTAAACGAGATCCACGCATGCTCTTAGTCTCCCTCGCATCCGTTTTTAGTGTCGGTCGTCACGCAAGGAGCGTTGCGTGACGACCGACACTAAAAACGGATGCGAGGGAGACTACGCATGCTCTCTTCCCACTATAATAGTTAACAACGCGTAAAAAATAATTAAAAAAAAAATTGTAACAAAATTTAAATTTGGAGATCGTTTTTGATACGGGTAATTAACACGAACACTTCAGTTACATCAAACAAAACAGTCTCGGAAGACCTTGTACATGAACGTGTAGTGTGCAAGCACAATGTACAGCCTCGCCTTTCTGCCAATATCGACAAATTTTAAACTTTGACACTTTTACTTCAACGTACTGCATCCTTGCAAAGTTTGGAACTAAAGAAAACCCAAGATTTTGTTTACGTGAAAGAAGGTCTTAGAAGTTTCAAATACCTCTGTTACTACAATCCCGCGGGTTTTTTTCACGCACGTACGCGGAACGAATCACGAGATATCTCGTGTGGCAACGAAGCATTGGTGACGAGGCTATGACGTAACACATATATGCGCATGGCCTCGGAACAAAGATGGCCGCCCAGTGAACTGAAAATGGCAATGGCTTTGAACTCTTGATCATTTAGCTAATATTTTTCCTTATAAAACATCTTCAAACATCTTCAAAATCCACTAATTATTTCTATACACATCCTACAATCCTACTCAAGTGTAATTTTGATTTTTTTGAGGTAGAATTTCGCGGTAAACGCTCAAAAAAGACTGACCTTTATTGGATTCGATCTACGATTATTTTTTTCTACAAAAATGTTCAGAGTATATTCACCCTTACGGTCTTTACGAACGACTGGAGGACAAATGAATGCCTTTAAAGGTAAGTAAAGCTATTATTATATCAGTTAAGGTGTTTTTCTTTTCATACTTTCCTAAAAAACCTTTTTTATTGCAACTTATTCGCAAGGCAAGCATTTTCGTTTTTCGTTTTTTTTCATGAATCCCAAAGGTCAAGTATCATAAACTTCGGTTTTTTAAGACGCTGAACTTTTAGTTAAAGCTTTCAAACCTGTGCTGATTTAAGATGTTATTTTGTTTGCAATATAGACGTATTTGAATCGTTCCTATTTTTGGGGAATAAGCTTATGTAACAGTTCAACCGATGTTTGTTGTTGTTGTTGTTATGTATAAGACTATTTTTAGTTGAGTCAAATTGGATGATATTCTTACATTTTAGAAAATATTAACATTTGCATTATGATTATACTGTTTTTAGCTTTATTTTTTTATAAATTTCAACGTATACATTAAATTGTTTTGTTCATTGGTTATCATTATTCACTAAAGAGTCACATGATTTTCGTATGGGTACTTAACAATTTTATTATGTAAAATCGATAGACTAACAGTATTTAAGGCCTTTTAACAAATTGCTCAAAAATTTCCATTGACTGTCTTCTTATTGATCATAGATAACATCTTAAAATATTCGCTGTGCTCAAGGTTCCGCTGTACGGTTTTGAACATTTAAAAATGTTAAAAGGCCTTAAAATCAATTTCACATAATAATGACTAGTCTATTTTTTGTTTATATTCAAAGGCTCACCCAGTCATATATTAAGGACAGCACCTCTACGAAGAATCCACATTGTCACCTCAAACAAACTAAAGTCTAGTCCATACCTAAATGGAAGTCATTTGAGCTCTCAACAGCACAGCCCTGGATCGAATGGTATCCATTTTCAAAACAGCAGGTTGATGTCCACAACAGGGGGGAGCAAGGACAGGGGTGGAAAGAATCCATGGTGTTGTCCTAAGTGTGGAAATCCATGTAGTGCTGTTGAAGGTTCGTTGGAAATTTTGGGAGTGGGAAATGTGGTACATGTATACATCATTATATAGAGTATGTAACATTGAAGTGACATCCCAATTTTTATTTATTTCTTGCTAATCAAGTCATCCAATATTATATCACATTAGTTAGTTAGTTAACTTTATGGTTATTTTTTAAGCAATAGTCTTTTCCAATGTTTTCTAATGATTTCAACATGAATTTTTTGTTTACGAATATGTGTTTATATAAAAAAAGGAAATTACTGGTTGGCTTGAAAATATGAAGTTTATCTTCACTGTGCTAACTAGAGAAATATTTTCACAATTTGAAGATAAACTTTTTATTTTTACACCACCTTGTATCATCCTCTATGTGCTCCACCCTAAAATCTCTATTGTACATAAAAAGATAAGATATGTACTGCTGTTTTAAGCTTTTTTCTGTATTGTGTAGTTCCAGAAATCATCCATACCTTACCCACAGATGAATTTTAATTTCCGAAGAGTAGGGGGGTCAGAGAAAGAAAATTAGAATTTCCAGGGGGTGGGGGGTGTCTTAAAAAAGTTCCTCCGTGAGGGGTGTATGGATAATTTTTGGAACTACACATTTTGGAAAAAATATTGGTTTCATATAGACCCACCTACGAGTGAATGTTTTCATTTGTTGGTCTATTTCATTACCTTTCAGCGTCTACGCGGTTTGTACAGTGTGACAAGTGCAGTCATTTTTTTCTGATCCTGTCTGAATCTGACTCTAAGCGATATATTAAATATGAAAGTAAATCTGCCATGAATGAAAGTGATAAACAACAGAAAGTCCAAAAGAAACCTCCTCCACCTCCTAAAAAGGTGAGTATTTTGCCCTAGTAGGGGAGGGGTAGTTATTCTATACTATAGTCTATGTCAAAGTCATTCACCCTTACTTCAAAAGATGCTTAAAAGAACTCGAATTGGTGAGATTAATGACTTTGACACAAAAGATGGTACTGAATTGTCTGTTTACTAATGAGGCCTTTCTGACCTCGATTCCATGCAATATTGTCCCTAGTCCCAACCGAGTTTGGTGGCCATCTATGAGAAAGGTCTGTGTATACTAACTTTTGACTGGTCTTCATTTCTTTTTTCATTTTTTCAGATATTTAATTACCTGGATAAATATGTAATAGGTCAAGATTTTGCTAAGAAAGTTCTGTCAGTAGCTGTCTACAATCACTACAAGAGACTATCCGTCAATCTTCCTTCATCATCACAAAGTTCGTCAGCAGAGGTCAAGCCTATACCACTAACAAGACCATTCCCTGGATCTCCACACGGTAGGGTATAATCATATTAAAGGACTACTATGACTGGGGTCACCTAGACTGCGACAACCAATCAAATTGTAGAATGAAAACAATACATTCCAACTTTGGGTAGTGGAGCCAATCAGAAACCAGCAGATAACAATAGCCTTTTAACATCCTTTCATTTGCACGAGAAAATGACAATAGCTATCTTGTTGTTTTTCGCGTAACATGCAGTCTAGGTTTCCGATTGGCTCAACATTGGCTTGGCATTGTTTTTGGATTCATTCTACAATTTGATTGGTTCTCACTGTCTAGGTGGCCCCACTTAAAGTAGTTACACTGTAATACTATCAGGGTTCATGCAGGTCCTTGAACTCCTTGAAAAGTGCTTGAATTTAAAATGCATTGTCAAGGGCACTTGAAACTCCTTGAAAATAGAAAAAAAAGTAGAAATGTCCTTGAATACTTCTTGAAAAGAATTGTCCATGAAAAAATATCAGTAAAGCTTTCAAGATATGTAAACCATGAGTTGTTGTCATTGGTTAAAATTAGAGATTTTCACTACCTCAAGGGAGAAGCGTCTTTTTTTATGATTTTTTGCTTTCCAGAACTTAGTGGCTCAATGTGCCGTGGATATCACGTGACAAATTCGCACATCTCGATTAACATTGGCATTTTCTTCATATTTTTTTAATACCAAAATAAAACCCTTTTAAGAGTTCCTCCTTGAAAAATGTCATTTTGGTCCTTGAATACTCCTTGAAAACTCCTTGAATAATTTCTTGGGAACCTAGCACGAACCCTGTACTATGGAATCAATATTAATCAAATGTCTCAAAACATAAAAATTGTCATTTCTAAACCGTAGTCTGATAAAAAAGCAAATGAGAGCAAACTAGGAACCTTTTTACACCATGATTCGTGTTTCTACAACCTAGCAACATGACCTTGCTTTTTTTATTCATGATTTTATAGAACTTCAGCTAGTAATGGCACAAGCCAACACACTCAATTCCCCTCTTGGTGCTAGTGGTGTCCAGTCATCTGGCCAGATGAAGGAAACAAGCGGTAGTGAAATACTAGATGCCAAAAGAGATAGAATTACCCTGGATAAAAGTAATATTTTGCTTCTAGGGCCCACAGGTTCAGGTAAGCCACCTAATATAGGAATGTATAGTTCAAGAAATAATTATCCATACCTCACATGGAAGAGACCCCCTATCCCCTGGAAATTCCAATTTTCTTCCATACAAACTATGTAATTTTGTTCTTTCTCTAAACCTTCCTATTCCTCAAAAATTGCAAACTCCTCCATTGTGGGGGAAGGGGGGTGGGGGTATTGAGGTATGAATAGAGAGTTTTAGGTTGACTTTTTTTTCCCCTGCAAACGGCAAACATGACCACGTTTTCACAGTTTTCCTTTATCTTACTTTACCTTTTACAAACCTTCTCACCAAGCGCAAATACTCTTTTGTTTTTCTACTACTTGGACTTTTTTGCGATTCTTTTTCAGTAATTTAAAAGAATTTTTTACTGGTCAACTGACGTTTCACGTTTGCCGTGAACGTAAATCTAAAACTCTCTAATAATTTCTGGAACACTACACAATGCATTGAGATTCTTCTATAAGTTTCATTGGAAGAGAGCCACCATCATAAACCCATATTGTCTGCTCAGCGAGAGGAGAATTGCAAAGCAAAAGTTATTGCAATTTTGAGTTGCCAATGCTGGTTTGTATCACAATTCTCCTACGAGTTTCGATTGGAAGAGAGCCAGCAAAATAAACCCATATTGTTGGCTCAGAATTACTTCACAATAGGAAAATTGGGATACAAAACTTATTGTGAATTTGAGTCACCAATACAGGTTTACATTTATGCCTTTGGAAGAACTAGCTGCCAATATAAACCCTTATTGGCTGCCCAAGATGGTAGTAACTTATAAATATTGATAGTGTGTGTGAGAAAGAAAATTCTGTACGATACAAGATAAACCCAGGTCATGTTGCACTCTTCTAACTCCTCTTTCTTTTTAAAAATTGTTATTCTGTAGGTGTCTTGATATATTGTTTGCTATCTGAGACTGTACGGCTCTAGCACAACCCATGTTATCTGTTACCTATCTTTCTTGCACCTCATGGCACACCCCACACACCCTTCTGGCCCAGACAATAGCCAGGTGTCTTGATGTACCGTTTGGTATCTGTGACTGTACTGCTCTTACACACCCCATATTCTAACATAATTCTGTGCATTAGGTAAAACCCTTCTGGCCCAGACAATAGCCAGGTGTCTTGATGTACCGTTTGCTATCTGCGACTGTACTGCTCTTACACAAGCTGGTTATGTTGGAGAAGATATTGAGTCAGTTATCGCTAAATTGCTACAGGTAAACACACTTGAATTGTGCAAGATAAGCAAGCAATCACCTTATTACATAAAATATTCGCAACTTGTTATTTTCCACAATTTTGAAGCTCGGATATTCCAAGGTTATGCACTGACTTCAATTTCAAAATTTTGCAAAAATCATATTTCAAGTCACGAGTTTTGATTTTGTGATTTAATTTAATCACTCACAATTAGTTTCCATATTAAATCAATAAAGCGACACTATATCTTTTTTTTAAATCCTATTTAGGAAGCAGGCAACAACGTAGAAAAAGCACAACAAGGTAAGCTTGTGTTTAAGAGCAAATTTTGTACCTGGGGGAGGGGGTAAGGGTACTCCCGTATAACAAAGGGTGAGGATGATCTCGTCTCAATCTTTAATCCCTAAGCATATGGGGTATCTTTTAGGGGTAAACCGGATATCAGTTATTATTAAATAACTTATAAATCCTGCATTCTGATTGGTTGGGAGCGTGTGCTTTAGGAGAGCACACAGCACGCACGTTTACTTTCCGTTGCGACGTTTCTATCTAAAATAATGGTTATTGTAATTTGTATTTTATGAAAGAAATGAAAAAACTTGCTTGTTGTGCTGTGTTGAGTATGTATAAAGCTCTTGGGGGTTGGCAGAACACTCGAAAACTGTCAAGAAGCACTCCGCTATGCGTCATGTCTAGTTTTCTCATTCTTCCAAACGCTGTGTACTTCATAATTGCACGTACAACATTAGCGCATTATTTCTTCAATAGCATAACTTACTTCCTACATTAAACTAATATTGTCATTCCCTACTTTTCTAGGGATTGTATTCTTGGATGAAGTGGACAAGATTGGATCAGTTCCCGGTGTCCATAACCTCCGAGACGTTGGTGGTGAAGGAGTACAACAGGTATAACTTTGCAGTTAACTGATGTTGATATAATAAACGTGGTATTGCAGTGATTCACATTTAACCTGGAACCTCTGTGGTTCTGAGAAATTTTTGGTTCACCCCTCATCGTTTTCAAATGATCTTGGTGTTTTGAATATTGTTCCAACTACCAGCAAATTCAATTGCTTTTTAGATGTACGTTGAAAAGCGTTTAAGGCTATATAATAAGAAACCCTAAAAGCTGTGCAGCCTTTAAATTTTCCAATAGTTGCCCCCTCGACATCCCATAATGTCTTAATAGACCGTTTTCTCAAGGTTGCGTGCGCATCCAACTTGACGGGCTACAAAACTGAAAAACGCAAATCCAGTAAAATTGAGAAGACAGTTTTATATTTAAAAATGAGAATAATCGATTCCATGAATTCTTATCAAAAAAAATTCATAGCAGTGCATGATAATACTAGTGTTCTGGTACCGTGGCCCGTCAAGTTCCTTAAATTTGGATGCGCACGCAACCTTGAGAAAACAGTCAATGTTCGCGAGTACGAATCTCTAGTACAAAGCATGATGGGAAACCGAGTACTTACGGTTTTTTCAGCTCCTCTAAAAATTCCCCTGACAAATTTTCCTTCAATATTTTCTATGAAACTGTAAGTATTTCAACAGACGAAAATAACAGAGTATTTTTTGTGTGATAATTCTATTGATTTCCTTGTACTGATTTGTGTAGTACTCGGCTTCCCGTCATGCTTTGTGCTAGAATTCGTGCTCGTGCACATTGGCTATTAAAACAATAGAATTCAAGGTTGCCGCCGTATCGGTAAAAGGGTCTATTTAAGGACAATCATCCTTTGACAGTCTTTGCCAAAGACTGAGTTTCTGTTGTTCATCTTACAGGGTCTTCTGAAGATTCTGGAGGGTACTGTTGTCAATGTACCAGAGCGCAACTCTCGCAAGATGCGTGGAGATACTGTTGCTGTAGACACTTCAAATATTTTATTTGTTGCATCTGGAGCTTTCAATGGACTGGATAAAATCATTAGAAGAAGAAAACAAGATAAGGTAGATATAAACACGTGTACCAGGGCCTTCAAGCTTGTCTTCATTTTTACGACCTTTTTTCATAAACACGCGACCCCCCGTCTGCATACAACTCCCAACGTCTGGGTTTTGGGTATCCACCAGTCAAAAAATAACGAACTCTGAAGGCTACTGAAGGTTTTTGGGTGGAAATCAAAATCCAGGCGTCCGAGATAAGGAGTTGTTTTTCGAGTTGCGATTGATAAAAATAAGCGCGATAGGACGTTTACATGATGGCGTCATTTTACTACCACTACCAAATTGCTTGGCTATCTTATTCATATTTGTATTTCCTGATGAGAATAGTAAGACAATTGGTGCTGATTAACTGAACAAGAGAAAGAGCTCAAGGGATTTTGGTAGTGGTAGGAAATGACGCCATCTTGCTAGTGTCCTATTATACAATGCATGGCTGAAAGTCTCTAGGTTGCAGGTGCTCTTGACCGGCCCATTAACATTTTGACCAGTCCGATATTGTCATTATTTCTTACCATTGAGCAGCTATTATTTTGCTCTGTTCAACTTACTTCTATGTTCTTCAGGTACTTGGATTCGGAGCTCCAGCAATAGAGGAATCCATATCAACCGAAGGCAAAGAACTCAATATATTTACCAACATCAAAAACGACGTCAGAGATGATAACGCAGAGCGTGACGGGTTACTGAGTAGCGTCGAGGCGCGTGATCTAATCGAGTTTGGAATGATCCCTGAGTTCGTGGGTCGACTTCCGGTTGTAGTTGCTCTGCATTCTCTGAATGAAACTGCTTTGGTTAAGATCTTGACAGAGCCCAGGAACGCCTTGGTGCCGCAGTACCAGGCTATGTTTGCTATGGATAAGGTAAGTTCCTTTGGGCTACCTGTGTCAGGCTGGAGATGAGCTTTGACAGAAGTTGTTTATTGGATGTTTTCTGTGCTGAAAAGGATTTTCTGAAGTTTCCCTTTTTTTTAAAAAAAATCAACACTTGCTTTCGAGCTTGACAATCTTGTTAAATATAATCCATTCCGCGCGCAGGTTCGCTACTTGTCTAGACTCCATTACTGCAAGATTAGTTTTTCAAAGGCCCAAGTGATGGACCTTTTCCAGCTTGGGCGTACTGTGTTCTCATTTCAGACCACGTGTCATTCCCAATCTCGTACCCAGAGCCTTTATTTCTTACTGCGCATGCTTGTCGAGCATGCGTAGTAAGAAATAAAGCTCTGGGTACGAGATTGGTGTCATTCCACAGACTATCATTTCTTCGTTTGACGGTTGCTCTTGAGATAACACATGAATATGGATGGTAAAACTGAAACAGAATATTATTCTCAAGAGAGTATGCTACGTGGTCTGAAATGAGAAATTTTAAACTACGTACGTCCAAGGTAAAAGGGTATATAGAATGCGAATCTTTTGAAGTCTAAGATCCATGCAAAGATTCAGATTTTAATTTTAATTTTTAATTTTGCAGATTGACTTGATCATTGAGCCAGATGCACTCCAGCTCATCGCTAATCAAGCATTAGAAAAGAAAACTGGTGCTCGTGGTTTGAGAGCAATATTGGTATGGATAACTTATAATGGTTCAAATATCTTATATAAGGAACATGAGAGAAAAGGCGCGATTGCACGGGGCAAGTTTCTCTGCAACTTGTCTTGCAAAAGCGTTGCGACACAAGCTGCAAGAGTGTTTACACGGTGTAACGGAGACGCAATCGTTGCCAAAAGTAGAAACGAATTCTACTTTTCGAAACAACTGCTGCAACTTGTCTCGCAACATTTGCTCAAATTGCGCTCTAGTTTAGACGTTGCAATGCTCCATGCAACTTGTGTCACAACACTATTGCGAGACAGCGCCTGTGGAGTGTGGAATGGAGCTGAGACGGATGAATAGTGTTTTCGCAGATTTGCGTACTGTGTGTCCACCTCTGTACCGTCTCGTTGCGAGAAAAACCTGCAACCGAGAAGCACTGTAGCTAGAAAGCCTCTTGAACCCAGGGTACCACCTCTAGGGTGCGAAGGATTGACTGGAGCTTTGCAACGCAACACTTGGATGTTTCAGGTTTCATGTTTGCTGCATTAAAAATAAGGTGTGGCAGCATAACGGCTTCACGGCTGGACTCCTACACAGACGTTTTAGAATCGTCACACAACGTTTCACTTGGTTGCGTGACGCGTGACGAAGGACGTCGTGTAGCTAGAGTACGACTAATTCTACCGTTTCGTTTCTCGCTTTTCTCTGTCTTCCTTACCATTCTCCAGGAACAGCTACTTCTCCAACCCATGTTTGAAGCACCAGGCTCAGACATCGTGTCTGTTCGCATCACCAAAGACGTTGTCAAGGGAACCAAACCAGCCGAATACGTCCACTCGCCAGAAAAACTAAACGAAGACGAAGCAACACAACCTGGTGAAGGCACTGACATCTACAATGATGATATCGAGATGTATGCTGGAGACGCATCTTCAAGACTGTGATCATCTTGAATATTCATTGTATTTTTTTTGTATTTTAGACTGATCATGAATTAGCGGGGGTGGGGGG